AGACTTTTGCGAGTTTATGGGCAGTCTTCAATCTCGAAATTCATTGGCTCCCAGAAAGTTATATAGCTAGTCATAAAAACATGAACATGGTCAAATGAAGAAAAACATTCATTCCTGAGTGTAATTGCATACTGAGTAGGTAAGAATCCCTGTGATATGGGGTAATGGGCGTGTGGCTAAGAGTCTGCTTTGTTGCGATTCGCCCATGTATTGTAAATGTGATCAATAATGAATATTTTGGACCGACTTGTTTGCCCAGTGCATGCTAATCGTTACTGAATTTGGACAGTATCTTCTTCATCATTATTCGGTTACGTTGGCCCCACAAATGTGCTCTGTTGGTTCAGCCGTTAGGTATGCATTAATTATTGTTTATCACACTAAAGCCAAAAATTTCGTTTTGTAATATGTAAAAGTACAACTTCGACTTTTTTTAACTCCTCCTTTTGGTTGCACTGATAATGAAGACTTTGCCTTTTTATTACCAGTGAGCGGCACGGCCTCAGAGCCATGCCGGTAGCCCCTGGTAGCATTCCTTTTGCAGACCGACATTACATAACCTATCCTAGGATTTTGCATTTTCTCACCTTCGAAAAGGATTCTAGGTGCTACATAAGTAACAGCGGAAAGTAAACCCGATCTTAAGGAACAACTAACCTGATTTTTATTATCTAATGAAAAACTCTAGTTTGACAGAAGAGGAGCGGATGCTGCAGGTGGGAGAATTTGTGACATCCCCTGACAGTATGCTTGAGAATGACTTTCAACTTTGGCAACAACCAAGTCCCTTGTTCTACAGAAATGCTAGTAACAAGCGAAGCGAGGAACACTAGGTGTGGGCGTAAACCATCTGGACAAGTTCGGTACGAAGCTCTCTACGGTACATAAGTGAAGATGTCAATAAGGTTAATACACAACACCTTCTCTACCTTTCTACCAGCTGGACAGAACCCAGATGGGTAATAGCTGAGTAGCACAGAAGTGAGATCACATAGACGCGGGACCTAATCCCAGGAAAGTTTTTAAAACCCCGTCCTTAATTAAATGACTGCATTGTGGCCGGCATTCTCACGAAAAGTGGTGGACTTACAAAGTGGCCTGCAAGTCCCCTTTCTCACAATACAGTTCGCAAGCAGAACAAAATTCCAAACCCAGTAGAATTGTCAGGAGTGATCAATGGCGTTGCTGTCAAATATTGTTTCTTTCGCCCGCAAATTCGATTACTGTTGCGGTTGGTTCGAGGATGTTTTTCTTACAGCAGGGACTAGACATTGTTGGCGGAAGCGAAGGATGATTAAGGGGAGCGAGGAGGATGGCATTAAAAAGGAGAGGTGGGCTAGGTAATACTTTGTTTGCATAACTCTAGGTTTTGTTTGCGCGGGCAATGAAGTTTCTACCGAGCTAAGCAACCTCTGGGCCGTGCCAGTATTACCTCAGCCCTTCTGTGCGTCGACAATGCGTATTCTGTCCAAGTATTACGTCTTCTTTTGTCTCGTGGAAAGTCTCGGAGTGCTACAGAAAGATCATATACTTTACAGAGATTTTTAAATTATTTATGCAATTACCCAAACCCCTTTGTTCACTAGCTATCTAATGTCATGCAATCTTCTGCTTTCTCTTTATCAAGTAAACTTTAAGTTGTAAAATTTTTCAATAATTCGGTGGTGATTTGGAGCAAATTATTTCCTCGTTTTTATTTTTATGAGTAAAAAACCACTAATAACTTTTTAATAAAACTCAGATTAAAAACGGTTTTTATCTGTCCCTTCTCTTCTGGAGGAGAAGGTTTAAGATTTTATCTTTATTTACGAAATTAACTAAAAAAGCATGCTGGCTTTCATAAGCTCTGTATAAATGAGAGAAAGAAACTTAAATTTGGGCTTTCAGATGTAAAAGCGTCCAGTGCTTTGTAGCCTGCTGAAATAGTTTAAATAAGGTATCCCAAGAAATGCGCTCGATTTGGGATTTGCTGATAAGGCTGATGCATTAACACACCCACTTCCACCTTTTACCTTGTAGGATCTTGAATGCACTCTACCTAAGCGTCAATGGGATCGAAAATCCTATTCAATGGACATTTTGAAAGGCCCTAACCATAAGTGCAGAAATTTTGGACATAGTGGATTCTACTCTCAGGAGTTAGTAATACAATCGCTACTGTGACTAGCATGGCGAATTTTTTAAGTAAAACTTCCGTAATCACTTAGAATTTTCCTCTTCTGGCAGGAGTATTATATCGTAATGCCCTGATTATTTTTTAAATCTTCTTTTTGATTTCGCTGGCACTTTAGGCTCCGCCTCTGTACTTCCTCTGGCTAGCACGACCTCTGGGCCGCACCAGTAGACCCCCAGCCCTTCTGTACGTCGGCAAAACGTTTTCTTCCCTATAATTATGACTTTTGCCTTCAGGAAAGACTCATGGCGATGCAATATAGTCTTTTATACCCTCTTATTATAACCAGGATACAAATGCAATATTTTGTGACAATGACATAGCTTGGGAAGCTTTTGTTTCACCAGCTCCGGATCAAACTGACCGAGTTTTCGATTTCATAATCAAATGGTTTGGATGCTTTCAACAGTTTCGCCTTTATTTAACGTCTGCCATACACGCATATTAACGGATCAGCTCGTTATATCTCTCTTCTTAGAATTCGTCTGTTTACGACTGCCACAGTGCCAATGGTTAGGATAGCCTCGCCCCTGCCCTCTTAATGATTGTTTTTCACGCAAGTGAAGACGTTAATTTAGGTGTGGCTCACCTACGTAATTTAAATTTAAATAACTCATCACTTCACCTTATTTCCTAACATTATGTTTGTGTCTTACACATAAGTGTTTTTGGGGTTGAGTGCCGCTTCATTAATGGTCAACCTGTCAAGTCAATGAAACCTTCCCAAAAAAAATGGATTAAAATTTTTTAGAGATACTAAGGAATCAGACAATGCATATTTTGGACCTACTGATAATACTACATTTTCTGGTGCATACAAAACAAATGACCGGGAATTCAAATCCAGAAAAAAACACTGGGGTTATTCTAGTCGGAAGCTTTAAGAAAACTTTTCTGGATTTGAAAGGAAGCGCAGTACTGGGGAAGAATACGTACTACAGATGTACATAAGAACTGGGGAGGAGGCGGAGTCACTGGCATGTCCCAGATGCCATGTCACCAAGAGGAAGTAAAATCGCAGACCCCTAAGCCCCTGTGAAAACCAAATGAATAGTTAAACAAATTTTAAAGGTAGTGCCTAGACCTTCTCTTCTCTTTTGACCATCGTTTTCGGCGCTCCTTTTAACCTCCTGCGTCGACTATTACAACGAGGTAAAGGCTGTGAGAAAAACCACCCACGAAAAACCATGCTAGTCTTCGAATTTTTTTGTCACTGGGACGTATTCTGACCGTAAAGTCACTAATCCCCCTTGGTGATTCTACAAGATCTGGAGTTTCATTTGGTCTGGAACTATATTGGTGGAAGAGGGGAATGTGCAGACCGTAACGTATATCCATCACTAGTCGTAAAAATACTGGCCCAAAAAATGCAAGTTAAAGTGGTTTTGTGAAGATATGATTTCGCGTCTATTCCTCCTTGTCACTTTATTCTCACTTCTGTGCTGTCCAGTCATATGTCTATCTGGGCTCTATCCAGCAACTAGAGAGGTGTGGGGTGTTCACTTCATTAATGTCTCTATCCAGGTATTGTAGATAGCTCCTCAACGAGCCCTCTTAGCCAGTGTCACCCCGTTATTTGCTAGTAGCATTCCTGCAGAACACGAATCTGCGTTAGTTGCCGAAGGTAGGCGTCATTTTCGACCCAGCTTCTAGGAATGTTCACGGATTCTTCCATCCGCAGCACTATCAGGGTAGAATATGCACTGCAGATGTACAGAAGGGCTGGAGAGCTACTACCCCCAAGCGGAAGTACAAAGGCGGCGGCTTCAGTGTCTGTGAAAATATAACAAAGAGTTAAACAGCCAAATCAAGTATTATACCTATAAAATCAAGCACTATAAAAAGGAAAATCAGCAATGAATTGTATAAAAGTTGATGAATGTCTATAAAATGCATGTTATGCGAGAAAACTGTAATTTATACTTACGAGTCTGGAACATACCCTGTTCTACATGTAATAGTCTAAACCCTCACAAGCGCCCATTTAGGTGATTAAGCCCCAATTTTTGAACATAATCCCTCTCCGTTGGTTGTTTTACCAGAAAGTTGTTTATGTCTCCTACAGTGGAAGGCCTAGTTATGATATATGGTCGGACATATGACAATGGAACTCCTCCCCCTCGTCATTTGTGAGGCAAAATGTCTCCCCCACGCCCCTCCTCCTTTCCCTCTAATGCTCCCCTCTGGAAAGTTATATTACCCGCCTGTTAGCCATATTTTTTGAGGTAAATGAACCGCTTCTTTGTGTCTCATGCCTTCATCAAGTTTTTTTACCATTTCGACGTAAAATGTATCTGCGTTTTGGGTACAAATATTATAAGGCACAGAAGAGAGCTCATCAGCATGCAATTTTAACCACGTGGGTTTTTCCTATCAATTTGAAGAAGTGACAAATTTAAATGAAATGATTCCTAGATCAAAAATTGTGGCTGAACTAAACTACCCTCGGCCTTAGAGCAGTTTTTTGACATAGGACGTTGACGAACCGGTGTAAAGACTACAATTTTTTTAAAAAAAAGTCGTTAAGACTGTGAATGTCTTATTTATATATTGTGAGTTAAAAATACTTACAAAGAATGCCAATAAACCCTTGAAAGTTCAAAGAATTTTGCGATGTAAACAGTCGCAGCTGGGTCTTACTTACAAACGATTAGTAGTATCAAGGTACCATGGTTAGCATTCAGCCCCAAGGCTTTTGTAAAACCCACGACTTCTCCCAATCACGATCAGGCATTTGCGTAACCAATTAATAGCATTATGGCTACCAGCAGTCAACCAATTGAAGCTTGAGAGTTCAGCTCAGTACGTGCGTCCATGCATTCTGTGCATGACTCTACCCTATGTCCAGGGTGAGATCCCTCCTCACGCACGTACACACGCACTCGTGCACGCATGCACGTCGCACTAAGGCAGGCACGTATTCGCATCACGCGAGGCTGGTGACAGGACCCACGAAAGCGCTCTTCCCTTCTCGGCCTCATTCTCCCTCTCGCCTCAACCCCCTTCTCTCTGTTCCAGCGCCAGTTCTGCCTTGCAGTTCTTTCGTTTGTACTTTCTTTTACCCACACAGTCGGAATGCCCTAGGGCTTGCCGCGATTTGAACAGGTTAAAGGTAATCGTTGGACGGACACAAGTATACACTGCCAAATTTCATAACTCTGCCATGGCGAGTTTCATTGCCAAACAACTCATTGGAAATCAACTAGACTCCGTCAAGGGTAAGCTATTTGCTTGTATGCACTCACTGTGCGTCAGCTCCGGTGCCTTCTGGTTCAAAGGACCAGAAAAAACTGTTTACTTACCCGATCAAGGTGATGTCATTGCTATCATTTCCCCTCACTTCAAATGTTCGAGCTCACTAAATACTGTAATTTATAATTTATGAGTAATACTTGAGTAGACGTAGAAGGACCTTGACAACTACGTGGTATCGTGCTAAGCGATAGAGGTTGTACAGCCTCACGTAGCCACTACGAAATGCATCGTGTAACTCCGCGCTCACTCTACCTTAGCAACTAACGAAGAATTACTTTAATTTCACCTCCTACAAGACCTCCCACTTTACAGTTCTACAGTGATCCAGGGAACACACCATTTTTAAACAGTTTTGCCCTTTCTACTATCTTATTTCGTGAAGTCACCTCATTTCTTCCTAGGTTCTGAGACTTGAATCCCCTATTGGCAGCCTTTGTGAGAGGTTTAGTAAAGCCATTACACTTCTCTACTCTAGGGTCCATAACACTCCCATGTTTTGAAATTACTTAATCACTAGATATGTTCATTAACTCTGGTAAACAGAGGGACAGTTCGCAGCTCTTTTAATGCAGGTACACAATAAATGCAGTATGAATAATTTATTTCCTGTGCTCCTCTTGGTCAGTGTCTTTGAATAACAGCTTCTTTATTTATGCCATTATTAGAGAACAAAGTTGTCTCAAGGAGACTGGAAAATTGAAGTTGTGATCACCTTTGAAGCACTTACAGATGACGAATCGTAAGACCTTAGCAGCCAGATCTGTTCCAGTGCTTATTTTTCCCACAAGCAACCCCGCCTTACACAGAAAAACTGCATTTCCGGTTTACCGACAAAATAAAATTCCACACTTGTGACGAGAGAAGAAACTAGTCATAGCGATGGCGTTGTGTGATCTTTGCAGGTGCTCTTGGTGACAAGAAAGATGAAGGTGGATCATCAGGAGCACGGGAAATCGACCCCGAAGTGGAGGAGGCTCTGCGCGAGGCTGAACAGAGACGACAGGAGAAGCACCGAAAGATGGAGGAAGAACGTGAAGCCATGCGGCAAAACATCCGTGATAAGGTAGACCGCTTTCCCCTATCCTATTAATCGCCTAATCAGTCAATAGGGGAGTCAGGACTGCAGATTATAATTTACACTCGAGTTTTTTGTCCTGCATTTGAATGAAAGGCAAAATTCGTATGGCACTGACAGTGCCTTCATGGAACCGCACGAAATTGAGCGCGGCTAGGTGGTATTTCATTTCATACTGAGAAGGGTTTTTCGGCGCATACTGACAGTTTTTCTTTGAAATACCAATCTATCTCAACTGGCTGCAATAAATTAACCAAACTGCTCATATTTCATCATATTTAAGATTAAGATTTCACGCTTAGTATTGGGTAAGGTAAATCAGTCAGTCATAAGATTAAAGACATATTTCATTTATGTTTGAATATATTTAGAGCGTAGAGGGCATGATGAAAACTAGCCAATTACTTAAATTACACTATATCCTCTTAGAAACAACCATTTTTGAGGGTGGGAATGGAAATGGATTTAACCCAAAATCAATTTGGCATCCACTTATCCCTGGAAGTACAAATTTTTTTCACTTTTCCAGACCGTAAAATCCCGACAATAAAGTGCCGAATTTGCTCGTCAACCATTTCAGTTAATTTGTTTATCTTAACCATATTGCAGATCGTCAGCTTATGCGAGCTTTTTGAATGCGCGAAGGGGGAGTAAATTTCCTCAAGAAACCTATAGTACGTATATCTGTTCAAAATATGGGAATTAAATGCCCCACTGTTGGTGCCTAATTTATGGCAAATGACTTTTTTTGTTAACGTGTCTACTTAAGTGGTTCTTACCGCGGCACTGGGTAACCTTTATGTCCATGTTTTGATTTAGGCGATAAAATGTGGTTTCTTGACATAAAGCATAACTAAGTGACTCGCCTGTTTGAAATCTGCAGTGTTGAAGAAAAGCTGCATTAGATATATCAGTAATCCATTGGAAAGTCATTATTTACTAGACAAACCATTTTTTAATGCAGAATTCCCCATTATTCTACCTTTACGGGGTCTTGTAACTCGAATAAATTGGATGACACTTTATCAGAGGCACGTTTTCCTCCCTCTATTACCAAGAAAAGGCTTCGAAAATTCTAATTTTTTTTTGCAAACTGCGCAGTTGTCATTGTCAATGACATTATGGTTTGACAACGAAGAATCTCTCATTCAGAGAAGAACTAAAAGTGTAGTCACTCTGTTTATGATTGTTCATTTCACAAAGGACTGTTTCCCATTTTTAAGAAACATAATAATCAACTCAGATTTCCTCTGTTACGATTTGAACGCCAGAATCGAACCCCTACCTGCCAGAAAATTGCATCAATAGGAAGAGAACCAGACTAACTTGTCTTTCAGTTTTGAATTAACACCTAGAACTATTAAACAAACAGAACCTCTTTACTGCATGACTGGAAAGTGTTTTGCAATTTGAAATGGAAGTGAGCAGATTTAATGTTTCCGCTTGTAGTGAGCCATTAATTTGCCGCTTTGATCTTTGCGACAGCAAAAGTAATGCAGGGTTTCTCGTTCCTATCGAAAGACTTTTCTTAGCTGGAGAAATTGTGCTCCTCTCAGGGACTCATTCAGCAAACGATATTTGGTAATTTACGATCATGCATGATGCTATTACTACGAGGGATTTTGATTTGGATTACCTGTCGATATTTGCAAACTAGCAAACATTAGAAACTGGGATTTAATTTCAAAACCGTACCGCTGAAATGTCAGCGTTGAGAATCTAAAACCCTGTAGGCAAAATAATGGGTGAGTTTGAAAAGCATCAGTGCCAATGGACAAATAGCCGAGATCCCAAACTCCGCCTCCAATTCTTTAATAAACAACACATTAAAGTTCCACAAAATTATCGTTTAAGTTTGGACCACAACTAAAAGGTTACTAATCCTAGCACTAGGATTTTGGTATTTCGTGGAAAATATATTCTAAAATAAATGTACGTGAACGAAATTCATTTCTCGCTACGTAGGGTGTTTCTAGCCCATTTCGATTGTGTATATATATCGGGTGGTCGGAATGAAATAAATCAAGAAACCCCTTAGATTCACTAAATCATCCAACACAAGATATGAATAATTAAACAGCTTCTTTAAAGCCTCTCATGAGAAATCAAGATAATCTAATTGCCCTCGTCTTTCTGTCAAATGATAAGTCTTTTGGAATTTTAACTAACATCCACGGATCAACCACGGCTGCCATGGGGTTTGCGTCTGTTTCCACTTGCCACCATGTTCTCACCTCACTGCTGCTCAGCCACATCTATCTGGCTTCTATCCAGGTAGTAGAGAGGTGGAGGAGGCATCGCGTGTTCACTTGACTGAGATCTTCATGTAGGTACCTCAGACGGCTCCGTAGCGAACTTTTCCGGATTGTTCACTGCGACGGCTAGTGTCTCTCACTTCAGTTATTAACGGCAGTTCCGCAGGAAACGGGACCATGGTAGTTGGCGAAGGTAAACGCCGTTCTCAACCCTTCAGTTAGGGGCCTTTGCTGATTCCACCGTCCGCATCAAATTTCCTTCTGAGGCGTTAATTTTGAGCATTCAGTAGAAAAAACTAGTATTGTTGTCCTCTAGAATTGCTTTTACTTTCCGTTACCACCAATTTAGCCACCCGGGTCTTTCCTGAAGAAGAATAAAAAAATAACACTCGAACAGAATATGTATTGTCGACGCATAGTAGGGCTAAAGGGGCTACTGGTATGACTCGGAGGTCATGTAAAGGTGGAGCCTCAAGTACTTAACTATCCAAGTTTTAAGTTCATTGTCCAGATGAGCATCAAGTAGTTTGTACTTGCTCACAGATGCTGTTCCATTACAATGCACATCTCTCTACCATAAAATTTTTGAGGCTTTTATTTCCCAAGTAATTTGACGTGTATGTGTGTGTGTGTGATCCCGTCACCATTACGGCTTCACATCACACTGCGCCTCAATGCACAA